ACCTGCAAATTATACATTGGCAAACAAGAATATGTAAAAGAAAAAAAAAACATTGTTCAGTGTACAATTTGTAGTGCTCCCATTGAAATTAGCACATTGAACAGTGCAAGCTTTTTCATAAGCATATCAATTGCACCTCAAATTCAGACACTGATGGAAATTCAAAACGGCATGAACTACAGATACCAAAGGCAACAGAATGAACATGTCATCTCTGACATATATGATGGTGAAATGTATCGAAACCTGTCAAAACCAGGTGGCATTCTGTCAGATCCGGCCAATTTGTCAATATGGCCCGTACAGCTGCATTTAAATGAACTCCCTCCCAAATTGAGATTCCAGAATGTAATGCATGCAGGTCTTTGGTTGGGTGCTCAAGAGCCAGTCATGCCAATTTTTCTAAAACCATTTGTTGATCAGGCAAAAACACTGGCATCCAATGGTGTGTCCTGGAGAAAATGTGGAGCTCTGGTGAACAGCAAAATTGTTGGACTCTGTTGTTGTGTGGACTCAAAGGCAAGACCAGCTATGCAAAACACCACCCAGTTTAATGTGTATTTTGGTTGTGGCTTCTGTACACCCTGAGACTCTCGTTGAAAAACAGGTGAAGTATACTGTGACTGCCACAGAATACCCTGAGAGAGAGGCTAATAAAATGATGGCAGATATGGAGCAGGCCGTAGAACAACACAGAAGTGTCAGGGGGTGAAAGGTCCATCACCACTGATAAACATGCCTTATTTTGACATTGTTTGGGGGTTTGTTCAGACTATATGCATGCTGTCTTGCTTGGTGTCATTAGACAGCTGACAGAGCTTCTTTTGAATGGCCATGATCAACCCTACTATATCGGCAGTCCAAATACAATGAGGGTGCTAGAAAACAGGATTAAGGAAATCAAGCCACCCCACCTTATTACACGACTTTCCGGACACCTTGCAGAGTTCAAGTACTGGAAAGCCTCAGAGTGGCGAGCTTGGCTCCTGTTTTACAGTTTGCCAGTCCTGAATGGGGTGCTTCAGTCACGTTATGTGAAGCACCTATCCCTGCTGGTGTTTGCAGTATTTCTGCTTTTGAAGGAGAATGTCACATTCGAAGAGATCAACAAAGCAGATGAGATGCCGTTCGATTTCGTGGCAAGGTTTCAACTGCTGTATGGAGAAGCATCTATGACATTCAATGTACACTTGCTAACGCACCTGTCCAAGTCTGTGAAACTGTGGGGGCCGCTCTGGGCACACTCAGCATTTGTATTTGAAAATGCAAATAGTGGTCTGTTGAAACTGTTTCACGAAACAAAATGTGTAGCTTTGCAGATTGTAAACAAATTCTTGTTGCATAGAACAGTTCCGCTTTTCAGTACAAGGTTTGCAGTTAGTGAGCAAGTAAAGAACTTCTGTTCGGAGCTCACAAATAACTCGAGTAAAGTCCTTCACTAGATATCAAGACACAACTGTTCTGGATAATGGCAGGGTTACTGAGACAACTGAGGAGGAGAAAAGTGCCTTCATTTCTGCAGAAAAAGTTCCACCAGATGAAATGGTGGTACACAAGAGAATGGTGCACAAAGGACTGGTTTATACCAGCAAAAGCTACAGCCTCAGTAAGAGAAGAAGGGATTGTTATGGAAAGTTGAGTGGTGGTGTTTGTGGAGAGATTCAAAGCATTATATCTTTTCCCTCAGAGTGGGGTACAGAAATTGCTGTACTTTTCCAAAAGTTTCATACACAAGCATCATTTCCTTTACCACAAGGGTACAGATTTGAGTCACATATTAGACTTATAAGTAGGGGACCTACTGTGGATCTGATTCCAGTATACAGGTTAGAGCAGAAATGTCTGGTCCTGAAAACTGGTGATGAGACTTACATTTGTGACTTTCCAAACCAACATGAAAGAGACTAGTCTTTGGTTGTCGTTCTGTAGGTAACATTTTTTTATTGTGTTTCACAACTTCTCTTGACCTGTCATTAGGGATGGGTACCGAATTCGGTACTTTTTAAGGTACCGACCGAATTCCATAGTACCGACCGAGCACTGATTCACGTCGTTTCAAACGGTGCCTCGTTTCGGTACCCGTTCTTCATAACGAGAACTTGCCGAGACCACTGCTCATGCGCAAGAGCGTTATGTCATCACTCGCTGCGAGCCAGTTGTAAACAGAGCAGCATGCAAAGAACGCAGGCTAAAGCTTGGGTCCACTTCTCTAAATGTGATGGGTAACTGGGTGATGATGAAACCAGCGACAACGATCTAAGTGAGACATCCTCATCTTAATATGCTCCGATAGGTAAATTAAATGTTTAAGATAATGTTAGCTTGAATTGTTAGCTTCCGTTTTGCTAATGGTGCATTCGCTTTCACCTCGGAACGCCGAATTTCCGACTAGAAGAACATGAACGCGCTCTAAAGTTTGGCTTCACTTTACAACGATCTAAGTGTGAGGCATCATCGTTTTAATCTGCTCCAGCAGTTAAATAAACTGTTTAAGATAACATTAGCTTGATATGTTAGCTTCCACTGCCACCGTTGTTACCAGCTAATGGTGCGTTCGCTTTCTCTTCGGAAATTCTAACTTCCATGTGGGAAAAATCAAATGAAAAAAGACGGCAAAAGGAATGAAGATACACAGTAAATTTAGTTCACAGTAAAGATGTTTGCTTCAGTTTAATTATCAGCTTATAAAACTACAAGGACGATATTAAAATACAAACAGTTGAATGTTATTTATCGTGATATATATCAAATATTGTTATATATTGAGAAAAATATATATTTAATTATAAAAGAGAGTTAAAATAATAAACACTCAAAAGTATCGAAAATTGGTACCGTTAAGTACCGGTATCGATTCGTAGGTACCAGGAATTATTACCGGATCGATTCAAATGTCAAAGGTACCCATCCCTAGTCCTGGAAAACCTGGGCAAAATGTCCTGAAAACATTTTAGTTTTTAATTTAATTTTCCCTTTCTGGAAGTGCACAAACCGGTTCAACATTTCACACCTGAATGGGCTGTAGTGCTTGTCTGCTTTCATTTCTGCATCTAGCTAAGCCAGCACAGCATCCCACGTAAAACTACCAACCAATGTAATTGCATATTCCCTTATAATCGTTTTGCTTCTCAGTGATTACATCTGTCTTTGTTGCTATATTTACTGAATTTTCAGACCCAAGTAAAGATTTATTTCTCCAAAGAAGGGCCAAAACCAGGGTCATTTCAAGGCATTTGGGGGCCCCAGGCAAGATGGACTAAGGCCCCGAACAAATAACTTTGGTACAATGCAAATACTGTTTATGCATTGAGCATATGTTAAGTCTTTAAATGTGCAATAAACCCTCTACCATTCCATATTAAAAAGAAAGCGTAAACAGCATATGAAATAAAAAATAAATATAAAATGCAATGTACTTAGAAAAAGGGCCTTTATTTAATCAAGCACATCCTGGTTCAGGCCTTTATTGAAATGAGGCCAGAATTAGAGGAAGGCCTCAATTTCAATTTGAGCTACATAAACTACCAGTAAAATGAATAAAAACAAGATTTTGTTTCTATTTGAACCTATAAAACACTAGGTTCGTTTATTGAAAATGTACACTTCACTCCGCTCCTTCTGCATGAAACAGGCTGCAGGAAAACTGGAAATTAACAGTTTATCTTCTTGAATACATTTAAAAGCAGACTAAGAACCCTTGAGACAGATTCCCTGTGTTGTAACTGCCTTCTGTAATTTTGTACATAACAAGTCCGTGTAACCGTAACTTTTTCTGCCACGTTCAACACATGTCTTAAGGCTGTGTTGGCACTTAATGCATTGTGATTTATTATCGTGTGATTGTTCAGTAAAACAATGTTGATTTTATATTTCCTCATCAAGTTGACGCAGTGATAGCTTGCTCCTGTTGTATTGTCGGTAACACTTTACAATAAGGTACACGAAAAGTGCTTCGTTACTAGGGAACGACTTAGGTGGTTATGAGTAATTAAGCAGGGAAGAATAGGTAGTTAACCAGTAGTTACTGGTAAACACCCAGCAGTCTTATTCATGGACTAATAGATAGTTAATCAGTACTTACTGGTAAAAACCCAGCAGTCTTATTCTGACCGTAATAGGTAGTTATCTATTTGTTCGTCATTACTAGGGAACGACTTAGGGGGTAATGAGTCATGAAGCAGGGAAGAATAGGTAGTTAAAGAGGTCGTAATGCCCCCCTCAGAGTCTTACTCCACCCACGTATCAATTTTAAAAAATGCAACATTAGTAGGCATTGCCTGGAGGACCGAGAGGGCGGAGCCGCGGCAGTGACGAAGACGATGGCTAACTAGACGATGCTAGCTTCCTTCACTCTGCGCAGTTATTAGAAGTGGAGGACGTTTCTCCCCCTCCTTACCCAGACACTTGAGAAGAAAGGGACCAAGTCTATTTGGAGGAGACAAGCGGACCTGAGCCTTATTGTTTTGAGCTTGTGAGTTAACTGAAACTACCGGAACCGACCCAACAGAACCAGCTCTGAATGGTAAGTAGCCGTTAGCCATAGCATCATATTAGCTGCAGGGTTTTTCTCCACGGCCCGAGAGCTAGTATTCAGCATGTTTTAGAGATTTATCTGCTTCAACACACCTGGTTTTAATCAGCAACAAATAGCTGAGCTGCTTAACACCTAATCTAACCTGTTAAAGCAGAAAATCCACTGAAACATGCTGGATAGCTCTCCAGGAGCTCTGGGCTCAAGCTACAGTCTGCTGCATAAAGTTATGAAAATATCCCATGAGAAAATTATTCTGTAATGTGTTCAGCCCACTAAAACTGCCCTGATTTCATTATTATTTACTGATACTAGCTGCTCTTGGTTGCAGGTGATCCTCTGGTGTCTGCAGGTGGTCTCCTGCTGGTGTCGTCAGGATCAGGAGCTTCCAGAGGAATGTGCCTTTCAATGACTCATTCCCCCTTATTTGTTATATTAATTAAATAAATCTCAATTTATATCTTTCCTGTTTTTGTTCATGTCCATAAATACTTAAACATGCTTGAAATTAAAATGAGCTTTTAACAGTGAGGTGCTAGTTTAATTCATCACAATAGAGCTAGTTAAACATGCAATGTGATAATTCAATTAATGTAATTTATAAATATCCATTAAAATATCAAAACTGGAATCAAAATGAGATATTTGGCAGCACAAAAAACTTGTCAAACACAATATTTATTATAATTATAGGCAGACAGGAGACAGAGCTGATGGAGGTTCTCAGTCATTGAAGGATGGCTGAAGGCTTTCCAGGAACAGGAGATGTGGTGTTGTCTCTTCTCTCTATTCTGCCAGATGAGCTGATAGGTTACAGGTGTGTGAGGACATCCTCATGCTGTCATAACCAGATGACAGGAGTTATCAGGTGATCAGCCAGGCTAATGATGAGATGCAGAAAGAAAACAAATCATGCAGAAAGAAAACAAATCCAGGACAGTGTACAATAATATGTGGTGTTGCTCACCTTATGTGCTCTTATAACGTGTGCCTGCCTCATGGTGTAGAGTCCATATTTTGCTGAGTGTCCTGCAATAATGCAGGTTATTAGTTAATTTACTTTTGATAGCAAAGAACAAAATATTTAATGTAAAAGTTATTTACCAGGTGAATCAGCTCACACGTCACCACCAAGTGTCACAGGGCCAGAATCAGTAGCCTCCTTCATGATGTCATGATGTAATCACATATGTTTATTTAATTGTTAATATTTTAAAAATTCAGAAATGTTTTAATTTTTTTACCTTGAACAGTTCACTGAGCTTGCACTGTCACTGAGGTGGAAGCTGGAATCAACAGCAGACACCTCACATCTTGGTCTTTTCAGGGGTGTGGACGCTGCTCTGGGACTTTCTGGAAGATGAATTTCTGTCATGGTCCCTGTGTCACAAGACACACTGCGGCTGTGAGCTCTATAAAAAACAAAGAAGCAGCACATTTATAAACGTTTAAAAGAGCATAAAATCACGTGTAACAATCTGTAAAACAAATTAAAACTAGAAGGTAATAAAATGTTTACATAGAAGATTATTAAAAATAATTCACCTTTGCTACGCCGGTAAGGCTTCACGTCAGCCTGGACAAGTGCATTCTTGCAGACTACTAAATCAGTCTGACAGCCAATGTCTTGGGTAGATTTAGCCTGAAAAAAAAAAGCACATTGTTGTTTATAGTCAGATAATATACAAAAGAAACTGTCCTATATAGGCGCTTTATAACATTCCTAGTGTGTGATCGTTATTATAACATAAAAGTCAGTCACATATGATGTGGAGAGCCTGAAATGCGACCTCCTGAACAGAATTCCTCACGGAACCGGGTAACGCTGTGCTGGATTTCACGCTGTAATGATGACTGTCAACTAGTGCTGCGTTAGTTAGAGCCACTGTTGCAGAATTGCCGACTGACACAAAAGCAACCCGAATTTTCTCTGAGCCTGACAGTCATGTGGACCGTTTTGTCAGCCAGGGCTTCGAGATATGTTCCGATTCGCCGCTGATTCTAACCTTACATCCCGTTCCACATTTTGTGAACTTGACAAATCTGCCCGAAGGCAGTGCAGGCTGATATTAGCTAAATGGAGTGAACCACGTTTCGCAAACTTTGCATTTAGGTAGGAAATTGTCTTTAGAAGATGTTAAAACTTTTATTTAGCTTACTCACCTCAGACTGGAGCCCGCCGTGGTGGGGGAGCAGAGTCGGTGGGCTGCATCTAAATCGCGGAAGAGCCACGGTGGGCACAGCCTCTTCAAACGGAGACTTGCAGAATCGCAGGTAAATTGCTGGTTGCAAACTACAGCACCCGGCGGGAGCTGAATGTTTTCCAGACACGCAACCACTGGCACCTAATTTCTAAGTCCAGCAGAAAGGAGTACAACCCCACAGAGCCACCGCAACCATACTACACTACACCTTCTCACAGCATACTAACACGATATGGAGCACTAAACCCGAACTACTTTCCTAATAACACTAACAGCCAAACACTAACTAAACTACACTATCCAACAGCCAAGCTAACACTAAATAAGTATGTATAATACTAAAGGCTACGCTAAAGACTAGGATATGCTAATGCTATATGCTAATGCTGAACTACCACTAACTGTCCTACGCTCGCTTGCAAATCCAACTCCCAACTCGCCACAAGGCGTGGCCGAGACGCTCGTTGCTTTTATAACTTTGACACAGAGCTGCTACGTAGTACTCTACTAGTTTACGTAGTATCTTACTCTTTAGCCATTGGCTAAAATTTATTCAAAATGAGTCAAATTCTATGTTTTAAGCTGAAGGTGGCACTATACTGTGGTATTTAGGCAGAATTTTTAATTTTTAAAGAAAATGCACCAAAATGCTAAAATAATGAATACACACATTTAAAAAACTATTACACACTCATTTATACAGTTCATCAGCAAAAAAAAAGTTAATTTAGACGTTACTTGCTCTTTAACCAGTAGTTACTGGTGAAAATGCTCATCAGTCTCATTCAGGGATTAGTGGGCAGTTAACCAGTACTTACTGGTAACCACCCAGCAGTCTTATTCAGGGACTAATAGGTAGTTATTTATGAAAGCAATAATAAATGAATCCCAGATTAACGTAGTGCATGTAGACGCTCTTTTGTAAACCTCATAAAGGATGCAGATAATTTGCAACGTCACAGTGATTTAATATCACTGTTTCATCTTGAGTTCACTCGTCTGTCACTTCGTCGTCCATCGTCGGCATCCGTCCATCTCGAGACAATGGAAAGTGAAGCCTCCTCCCAAGTACCTACTGAGGAACGAATCCGTACCTACTAGGTACTTAAGCATTACCTACTGCTTTTGTGTACCCTAAAGTAAAGTGAGGCCTCCTCCCAAGTACCTACTGAGGAACTAATCAGTACCTAGTAGGTACTTAAGCATTACCTACTGCTTTTGTGTACCCTAAAGTAAAGTGAGGCCTCCTCCCAAGTACCTACTGAGGAACTAATCAGTACCTAGTAGGTACTTAAGCATTACCTACTGCTTTTGTGTACCCTAAAGTAAAGTGAAGACTCCTCCCAAGTACCTACTGAGGAACGAATCCGTACCTACTAGGTACTTAAGCATTACCAACTGCTTTTGTGTACCCTAAAGTAAATAGAAGCCTCCTCCCAAGTACCTACTGAGGAACGAATCAGTACTTACTAGGTACTTAAGCATTACCTACTGCTTTTGTGTACCCTAAAGTAAAGTGAAGCCTCATCCTAAGTACCTACTGAGCAATGAATCTGTACCTACTAGTTACTTAACCATTACTTACTATGTTGTTATATGAACATTTGCCATGAGTAGATTGAGCTTATTCACACAGCTTTTTCTTTCATCTTGTGTGTGGTAATATTCCAGAGATGGATGACCAAAATCCTGCAGGTTACAAAGTTACCTGGCTCAAATCAATCACTAACAAAATGTTCAATGTTTAGGGTACTTTTTTTAAAATAATGAGAACGGTACACAACAAACTTTTCAAAGATTTACTTTCACCTTTATAATTTATGAAATCAACATGTAAAAACACTAAAACAATATAAAAAATTAAGCAGAACAGGTCCAAGGTAATCCACATTAGAGATGAACAAAAAACATTTTTTTTGGTTACAAAAACGTTGGGAACATTTTAAGAAGTACTCCAGCATCCTTCATTTTAATGACATCCTTCTCAAGACTGGCAGACTGAATTGTCGCCTTGCATCTTTTAGCAAAGGAAGCTAAACTTTCCTTTGGGCTGTAGGTGTTCCTGAGTTCTTCGTACCTCTCCGGACTTACTGCTGCAAGTTCAGCTATCGCAGCTGTGTCTGCAATAGTTTTCCGGTCTACGCCAATTATCCTAAAGGCTGCAACCATTGGGAGACTCCCATCCTGTGTCGCCATAAGCACCTTCTTGTACTTGTTGATGGCTTCCTCTGGTGTTATGACTGCAATGACAAAAAAAAAAAAAGTTAAATATCCTTTTTAAGACGGATGACTGCACCACTGAGCTTTAAAATGTATTAAACAAAGGAACACTTAAATTGAAACATGTTAATGAAAATTATATTCTCTGTAGACATCACAAAAAATGCATTTTCTCTCTCTTTTTTCACATGTATAAATCCCAATTTTCTATTTGTTCTCATTTTAAACATATTTGAAAATCCTTTTTCAAAATGTTTTTTATATTTTTAATTTTTGTCTTTGTGAAGCGCTTTGTGATTTTTATATTGACGGGTGCTATATAAAAGATAGTTTTCTTTCTTTTCTTTTCACTACAGAGCTCAACAGTGTATTTTTGTTGAGAAACTCAGGTCCTGCTGCATTTATTTGCAGCTTGCATAGGAACCATGACCAAATTTAAAATATTAAAATAAAAACAGTATTTAGTCCAGACCAGGTAAAGTGAAGCAACGAACCTTACTGGTGTGAATACAACCTAAATATGCCATCATTTCTTGTGTAAAAATATCAGGATTAAAATATACAACACATGGACTAGTAATAGTGAAAAAGAGTTATAAAAAACACTGTAGAAACAAGAAGGATAATCTCTGCCTCTGTCTCTGTCATTCATGTATACTTCACAAAAACATTATTCAAGTAAAAGTTAAAAGTACGGTATAATAACACTCTCATTCAAGAGTATGCAACTGAGTAAACTTTAATGGCTACTTCCCAACGCTAAAGGTTAGCCTTCTTTTAGCTTAAGGTTAGCTTGGCAGCTAAATGTGCTGCGTACGTGTTAGCGAAAAAAGAGGACCAAAACATTTACTCTTTTATGTTAACATACTCACACATAATTGCATCCTCCGTGACACGCCGTGGAGGCTGTCTTTTTCTCTTACTTGTCCGTACGGTCCAAAAAAGCGGCATGATGAGCTAAGGGCGACAACCTTACGTGAGGACCCGGCAGTCACTTGACTTACAGTTGCATCGCCTTTTCCGAGAGGGTGCTGAGTAGCCCCTGGCTGCCTCCCGGAGATTGGGGCGGGGCTAAATGTGGGTGGGATCAAACGTTTATAGGTGGGCGAAGACAACTATTTGACTCCTGCTCCTCTTCAATGGAACCAGGAAACCGCGAGTAGCCCCTGAGTTATGGATTAAAAAGCCCTAAAAACCCACAAAACCCATGTAAAGCATAACATTGGTAATCAAATTACTTGTTTGCTGGATGTCATAATTTTAAAGAAAGGGCAGATAATTAAAGGCACAGTCTGTAACATTTAAATGTAGAATAACTTTAAAAATGTTTGATTTTGACCATCTGACACAATTTTATTTAAAAAAAGTAAATAATCTTTAATATTTCAATTTTCTCCTAAGTCCCTCCCCTGCCCTGTATAGCTCAGCAAATATTTCTGCAAGCCTAACGCATTGACCAATAGCGCTGCGTTACCACCAGTGGGTAGCTGTCAACCATCGAGCACGAGCAGGTCTCAGCGTGCACAACAGTGTCACGCGCCTCACTCGGTTTACTGCAGAAACATGGAGCAACAAAACCCCAAATTACCGATTCCTCGACTGCCTTCCACATCTCAAAAAAACATTTAAAAGTTTAAAAGCCCTTCTTCAAAAGTGGCTGTAAGACGTTTAAGACAGTCGAGTAGAATTTACATTGGAGATTGTTTTAAACGATGGAGAGATTTTCGTGATCAACACGGCCTGAAAACGGATGAAGAGTTGGCAAAGTATCTTTTGGACAGGTAAGTTATTTATTGTTTTTCGGATAAATTTACTTAAAATCTTTCTTTCACTGAAAGAAGTAATAGAGCAAACAAGCTTTGTATGCTTGGTGTCCTATTGGCTAATGTAGCATTAGCTTGAATGCTAAGTCGACATGAATCGATGCTAGTCGAACTATTTATGCTATATTTGGAAGAAGTTTGAGTAACGAAAGGGGATTTTAGTTTTTTTTTTTTATTTGGGAGCTAATGATTAGTGTGGCGTTTAACTATAGGCCATATCAGTGTAATGTTTTAAGCTCTTGTTTATAACTTCCCCGTTAGCGGGGTTCAGTTAGCATCTTGAACGCTGGATTAGATGTTTACACTTTCCTGAGCTGCGTGTTTGATTAAAATGAGTAATCAGCAGCTCATGTAGCACTTGTAGAAGTCTGAGGAGATGATTCAGCAGTTAGAATTAGGTGTGATTGATGAGGAACGTATCCAAAACCTTACGTTTCCATTAGCACTGAAAGACATATTGTGCTATCCTGGGTGGGCCATGTGTACAGATTACTGTCTGATTTTGTGGTCTTACCTACGTGAAAACTCCATATTAAAATAAAAGGAATGATAATCAGCTCGTGCAGAAATCTGTGAAGGCTGGGGAGACTTGTTTTATTACAGTGGAACAAAGATATCTGTAACCATTTTTGGTTTTGCTGCAAGTCGGCGAACACTTATGAGTTTTTTGTAAGTACATTATTTGTGTTTTCATCTAAAAAAAAGTGATTGTAACTAATTGCCACATATGTCTTTTAGGACATGTGGATCGGTCTACTCCATCATGTGACTGGAGAACATGAGTGGTCTCTGGATGCTTGTCAGCATGATCCTTTACTAAGTGACAGAGAGAGAGACTGGATTCAGAAAGGCTCCACTCCACACAAAGCCCTCAGTGACATCATTCTCAGTGAACGCTGGCTGAAAGAAGTCCCAAAATATTTTAAATTCAGGTACTGTATTTAATTATAGCTATAAATAATAATATAATTGTTCTAAATGTTAAATTCTTGTTTTAGATCTACAGCAAATTTGGAGGCATTTCACAACCATCTCCTAATGTATGCAAGCAAAAGATTCAGCTATATCCCACGAGGCACGGATACTGCTTGCTGCATTGGTCTACAATCACCACTCACATCGAGAAGTGAAGAGGAGAGCAGATGGATCGATACAGTATTTATTTATTTATTTATATTTTTCATAAAACATACACTCATGAATTCATAATTCACTGGTCCAGTTTTAGTCATTTTTTTATTAACAACTTCCTCAGATGAACAACCACAACGCTCCTAACTGCTACATATTGGTTTAACAACATGCTGTCAAGTGGCCAACTGTAGAATAACAGAAACACCACATTTTCAATCATAGTGCCTCCAGGTGGGGCTTACCTAAATGACTTTTAATTTAAAACACTTTTTCAGCTAATTTGTTGTATACTACAAGTTAGAGCCCTGCACGGGCCTAAAATCTGAGCCCGTGTCCGGCCCGGCCAGAGGGGGTGGAGCCTCAGCCCGACCCGGTCCGAAAAGGTTTTCAGGATTCTCTGGCCTGACCCGAGCCAGACTTTTTTTTAACCAACTAAATGAAAACAAAGTGCGTCAATCCTGACCAATGTGTTAAAAGACGTGCAGGATCCGATCAATTTGTTTTTCCCTCGTTTACCGTCTCGGAGATAACGGCGCAGGCTCTGGTGGTAATCAAGTTAAATTATATCTCTTTCCAACAATTTTCACAAGAAAACAGAACAGTCAAAAGCAGGGCTTGTGTTGACCGGATAGTTCCCGTATTTGACCGTTTATTTTGACGGAGAAAGAATAGAAATAATTACCCCGACGCATGCAGACAAACTGACATTTTATTCTACGCACATTGCAGATGTATCTAAATCACACAAGAAAAGATTCCCATCTGAACATCTGAGCTGGGCCCTGCTCAGCGCAGCTCGCTGTCACCGCATAGGTGCACAGCGAGCTGAAGTTGTGGAGATTGGCTTGGAGCATGTCGCAGATCCAGAGAGCATGCGAGAAGGTTCCTCCCACTGAAGCAAGTGTTTTCCAAACCCTGTCTCTCAGAGAGACTTGTCACTTAGAAAATGTTCCCTGATTATGAAACTTTGGCTGAATAGTGCTTGTTCCTGTCTCCAATGAGGCAACGCATCCAGGAGCCGTCTGAGAAGAGTCCCAGAATCTCACATCTTCAGCTCAGGAAGCGCCTATGATTACACACAAGCGTGACCCGTCAACCCGGTCTCACAGCAAGACTGGGTTGGGCCTGTTCAGTAGAGGTGTGAATCTTCACTTGTCTCCCGATTCGATTCGATTACGATTATTGGGTCAACGATTCAATTCGATATCCCGATGCATCACGATTTATCACGATTATTTCATATGGATTTGTTTTCATCGATAAATAGAAGATGTCAGATAATTGCTTTTTATTTATTTTTATCAGAAATGTAATTGACACAACCTGCCATCCCTCAAAAGCTCTCCATTCACAACAGGTTAGGACAAAACATTTAAACATTTAAGAAGATTTAACTAAGTAAAACATCTGTTTCCTCGTTCAACACCACACCTCAGGCTGAGAAAAACACGCTTTGCAAAAACTCACAAAATATAAAAAAGTACTGAAAACCTACAGGACACATAATGTAATAATAAAATCCATAATGGGTTCATATGTGAGTGTTTAATGTCTCTGAGCAGCTCTAGAGTCAAATATGTATGCCGCAGTTCAAGGGTGTCAGAAATAACACCAAATGAAATGTTTGACTTAGTTTATTTTATTTGAACCCAGCGGTTCATTTCTGAAATGTTGGAGAATGAATCAAGTTCTGTTTGATGCAGAAAATAAAAAACATAAAACAAATTCTACACTCCAATAATATTTAAGATGTGTGTTTTATTCTTCCTGATAACACCAGCAGAAGGCTGTGGGCTGGATTAGGATTAAATTACCCAACTGATGGATCTCTTTCACTAACCAGCTAACCACTAACCTGTCCTGTGGGACCCTCACCATGTAGCCCTCATGTCCATGCTGTCTCTGGAGGAGCAGAAAGGAGACAAGCCTCCTGTAACTTAAAATGAACCAAAGCTTCCTCCCAGTTCCTCTTTAAGCTGAATTTAACATCAGTTTATCATCATGAAACAAAAGAATAAAGTGGAACAAGAACTTCTATCTTCTATTTCTCTCTCTAACTTCTCCGTGTCCCTAAATAAAAGAAACAGACGATCACGCTGCAGCCGCCGTCATTGACCCCCCCCCCCCAAGACCGGATCTCCCTACATTACAACAAGCAGTCTGACTGAGCGCTTCCAGGAGAAATAATAATTGAATTATGAAATGAACGCGTGTTTGGAGCATCGGTTTGGAGTAGCGTCCTCCGATCGTCTCTCTTGTGTGAGCAGACAGTGTCTCTCTCTCTCTCCCTCTCCCTCAGTCGCTGATCGAGCGAGCAGAGCACGCCGCACGACAACCCGCTCAATTAACCTAATTCACGGCCCAAATCCAACAAAACCGGTCGGGCTGATTCGGTTCCGGTTTGGTCTCAGGTAACAACTCCAGCGCTCAGCCCTGCAGTACCACATTAAGGCGGAGGTAAATGTGGAGGACGCTCACTCTGACAGATTTGGATGCTGCGCTGGTGCCGCCGTTAAAAAAACAAAACTACATTCCACTATAATCAATTATGGCGTACTCTTCGACGATGCAGAATCGTTTATGTCCGCATCCCGATGCATCGATTTTTTGATTATTTTCTTCAGCTATACTGTTCAGGTTTACACAGACAATCTTTACATAGAATTGACTTACAGATATAAAATTAATTCAGTAAAATATAAAGCATTTTATTTAAATATCCATTCATTATTTTACAAGCACAGAGAGCCACATCAGATTCAGATCAGCGGGAAGATTCCTCTGAATGAATTCAGTCGGAGGAATCTTCCCGCATGCGCTCTGGTTCTGCAACGTGCTCCAAGCCCCTCTCCACATCTTCAGCTCGCTGTGGACCTTATGTAGTACATGCTGACAGTGAGCTGCGCTTAGCAGTGTCCAGCTCAGATGTTCAGATGGGAATCTTTTCTTGAGTGATTTAGCTCCATCTGCGATGTGCGTAGAATAAAATGTCAGTTAGTCTGCATGCGTCGGGGTAATTCTTTCTATTCTTTCTCCGTCAAAATAAACGGTCAAATACAGGAACTATCCGGTCAACACAAGCCCTGCTTTTAACTGTTCTGTTTTCTTGTGAAAATAGATCAAATTAAACTTGATTAACACCAGAGCCAGGCGCACTGCACCATTATCTCCGTCACTGTAAATGAGGGAAAAACAAAATGATCGGATCCTTTTCTGACCTTCCCCACCTACAAAGTTTAATTACAACAATCAAACGTGACAGAGCCTGGATTTGTATTCTGAACAGTCTAGACATGTTTTAAAAAGAAACGTGTGACAAAAGTGGCACCTGCTCAGTAAAACCATCAACAGGGTGAAAAATATCAAACTATTGTTGGCAGAGACGGGCTACAACTTCTGGATCCACTTTATATAAATCATTTTGATTATGGTCTTATGAAAGATAACGTTGACGTACACGAGTAACCGGTACTGGCTGCTGTCACCTGTTGTGAGCAGCTCTCTGCTGTCTGAGGGTAGGCCCCGCCCACAACGCCACGGCTGCTGTGGCTCCCAGTGTTTTCTTTACTGTGGGAAAAAGGTAATAATGGCTTTTTGATGGGAACAAGTTGCTGACCCCTGGTTTAGGTGTTTCAATTATTTTTTTAATGAATTTGATTAAAAATAAAGGAGCCCGGCCCGTGTCCGAGGTAATTACACAGTCATTGGCCCGAAGCCCGGCCCGAGGGCCTAGGGCTTCAGTGCAGGGCTCTACTACAAGTTATGGCATGTGTCATTTCAGATACCATAAAATATTCAACAAAAAATCAAGATGCTGGAGGCTGTATTCTGAGAAGGTGGCAAAAGACTACTCCTACATCCCAGCGATCCAAACCATGATCGTCAACCAACGTTTGACAAGCAAGAAAGATCTTCCTCGACGCTACAAGCTAAGGCCCGAGGATCCAAGGCGTTACGGTTTGCTGTCCGGAGTCCCTGCACCATCAACAGAGGAACTTCTACAACACCTACGGACTCACGGTGATGGTAAAATAAAACATTATCTGCCTTACATCTTCCACACAATAGTCCATTACTAATTGAGTTTATTTTTTATTTACAGGGAAAACTTTGCCACAGACATAGGTGTTGGGGGAGGCAAGAGAAAACACAAAACCTTCTTTATTTTTGTTTCCTGTGTTTTTTTTTTGTGTTTGAAAATAAAGATATATTTTGGGGAAATAAGGACTAATAATTTAAAAATGTATGTAAAATGCTGGAGGTAGACATAAGTTTTTGTTGTTGTGCAGGAGTTTTAAAATCTATGATATTTTTACAAATGCAACACAGAGTTATGCTTTAGAACATTTTATTAGAGCATCAAACAAAAATATATAAAAAACAAACGTATGTAAAATATCAAATATATACATTTATTTACAATCGCCTTGGAATAAAACCAGTGGGGTCAGGGAATTTTTCCCTTATCCTCCAGACCACAGCTTGGGATTACTACTCTGCGACCTCCACCAAGTTTTCCATGCTGCCATGCTACAAATTGTCTGTAAGCTGCATGGCGGAACTGTCTGTTGTCCTCACCAGGGTCCGGGTCATCATAAACCGCTCGAAACTCATTCCACAATGTTCTGGCCAGGCGAAGAACACCATTTTGCAGAATAAACTCCTCCATGTGTGGTACAGTTGAAAAAACATGTCTGGGGAGGCTGTTGGCAGCATTTCCTTTCCAAATCAGTTGGCATCTCTGCAGTGGGAGCATACACACCATGAAGGTTGATTGGATGTTGGAGGTGTTGTGGCAGGTGGACCAGAGAGGGCAAGTACATCAAAAAGAACACCAGGGTCTCTGTCCAGCACCATGGTAAGGACGTCAATAGCCTGCTGAGGGTTCAGGTTCTGTATGTGTTGCTACAAACGTGGAAAGAGATGCTACAGCAACAGATTTTAGGATCATTTAATGTAATTTTGTTATGCTTACACGTTCAAAGTCTATTCGCTCTCTCTCTCTCGAGAGAGATCTTCATCTCCAAGGTCCACAGCTGAGTGTCTCGCACTTCTTCGGCCTCTGGATGCACCACGGCCTCTGGATGCACCACGGCTTTGAGATGATTGTGGGCATCTCCTTTTTGCACCACGTCTTGAGGATGCAATGGGAGGTTCAAACTCTTCCTCAGAGGATTCCTCAATCACTGAACTCTAATTTGTATTTGTAGAGAAATAGAGTGATGAAACTATCTAGAGTTGTATTTTAATATACTTTGAGACAAGAAAAGAGAGAGAGTTGGGATCGTTTAAGAATCTTTCATTTCTTAATTATAAATTCTTAACAATCTACCAGGACTAACTCTGTGTTGTGTGTATGTGTGTGTGTGTGTGGTTGGTTCAGACTCCTTAGGCTGACGTCATTGAATCTGGTAGTCTTTGTTATGACTAGATATCACGAGGCTTATAAAGTGACGACATGAGCTGCTATTTTGCCGTGTACGTACCCAGTGGGGGCCTCCCAGGTAGATCAGGAAATGCCAGGTCTGAAGACCTCGGATGTGCGCTGGAGCTGGTCGAAACAGCGATCGCAGCGTTTCAAAGCCCGTCTGAAGGGTCGACCCAGGTAACAATCGGCAGCGTCAGCAGGTGCTCTTATTTTGAAAGGATGTCGTCTGGTTGTTAAACGACGAAAATCTCCAACTTCACAGTTCTTAGTTTAAAGAAGAAAACACATCTGGCCAGGCTGTGCTTCTGTTTGGGATGACGGTGAAACCCCGTAGGACTTCCAACTGAACAGAACTGAAGTCAAAATGGAACTGAGCTTAAAATGGCATTGCCTTGTTTTATATCTCTGAATTGTTGATAAGTTTTAGTAAAGCGGATTGGACACTTTAAGTCAACAAGCCAGATTCTCTTGCGGCAGCCGAAAGCTCTGATTGGTTGGAACAATGTGTCATGCGTTTCTATGGAGATGAGGGTCAGTCTGTCTGTGCAGTAGTCCTGTTTTCATTAAACACATAAATCATGACATCTTTATTCCACAGATCATTCACTTGATTATTATTGATCAACATCTGTTTCGAATAGCTTTAATCACAAATTAAGTACTTTGATTATTGAAAAGCGTTCTTCTTCTCCTTCTGGCTCTTCTCCTGGAATGTAAACAGTCTGAGGAACACCCGACCTTGGCGTTTTCTACACGGGTGTTACTGTGTACAGGGGCAGCTATGTGGAGCTGAAAATAATGAACTTCATAACGTTACATTTTAGAATAAAAAAAAATTATACTAATATAAAAAGTACTCTTGCATATTAATCAATTTTGACACAGATCAGGTTTACATCTAGTCAAAATTTGGGCTAAACCAACAATAACCAGAAACCCTATGAAAACAACCATGATTATAGGAAGACTACACAGAATGCAGTGTTTATTCATGATTTCCACATAAATTATATGCTTTGATATATTCATCCCATCTTGAATGGCAAAGCAATTAAAAATAAGCTAATTACTCGTAATAAATGCTAACAATTTGATAGGATTAATTTTATTTACAATATAGATTGTCAACTGTTACTGGTATTTTAAAATATGTATATATTTATAGATACTGTTTACAAAAGGCATTTTATAAAGAATAAGTGTTTAACGTGCTGGTTAAAAACAACTTTCTTACCTCAGATAACTCCACTGCTAACACTACCTCAGCTCTATTATGAAGAAGCAATTCTGGTGTTGACTCGGCTTTTCCTGCGCGTGCACCATAGACTGTACATACTGGACAAACGGATTCGATAGACTCCAATAACACGTTTTTTTGTCTATAATGGGAGGTGGCCACCACCGCCATTTTGACCGTGTCACAGGTTCCGTCCAGCCCAGACAATTCCATAAAAGGGAAGAGAGGAGGAGCTGAGGGTGGGGCTGTAAGGCTGGGCTCGAGTGACGACACCCGTGCGAACTAGCTACGAGCTAACCTGAAGCTAACCCTGGCTAACCCAAAGCTAACGCGGAGGTGGGAGCCGAGCTAACGGATGTAGCCACCTAGCTTCAACCCAACCGGAGCTAACTGGAACACCCATCGACCTGAACCTCACACGGAGTTTAGGTGGAGGTTTTCGGCGCCTGTTAGTGACAAGTACCTGGATTAAAAAAGTATTGAATCGGTAAGTTTATAATTTAATTCCGTAATGAAAACATTTTGCTGTGAGCAAGTTTTCAGTACCGTATCTTCCGGGCTATCGCTCCTGAGTCGTACCAGCCATTAAATGTATAATGAAGAAGAGAAAATATATTTAAGTCGTATTTTGGGGGGACATTTTATTATCTTTCTTACAAAATCTGAGACCAAGCGTTTCACATTGCAACACAAGCACCGGTAACCATAACAGAATGAACAACAGCCAGCAGAGGAGAGGATGGCAGTGTTTCAAACCCTCCCGGCCGGCGAGGAGAGCTCATTCCTGGGCTGGAGCCGGCCCTCAGCACCCCGCCACAGGCTCTAACAGATGCTGGCGGTGTTTGAAACCCTTCCAGCGGGACAGGGGAACTCATTCTTGGGCGGGTCGGAGTCGGCCCGCAGCAGCGCGGTGTAGCCATATTTTGTTATATAAGTCGCTCCGGAGTATAAGTAGCAGGACCAGCCAGAATATGTAAAAAAGTGCGAGTTATAGTCCGGAAAATATGGCAGTTATTAGTATTCGAGCTAAATATGCAGCCTAAATACATTTCATATATTTCCAAAATGTGATACTTGTTTGTATCTTGTACAGCCAACTAGTCTTTATTCTGGACTCAGTACAATTTACCAAAAGTAAAGAGACATTCTACAGATGAAGTAAGCACAAGATAACTTACTGGAAGACACGGAATTATCATCAGAACCAGAACAAGAGAGCCTGATAACAGTCATGTGAAAATAAGTTAAAAAGTATGTATGTATAATAGAAATAAAAATATATTAGAATTAGTGTAACTCACTGTGATCCAAACAATAAATCAGCCATAGCTGATTAGTAAATATGACATGAGGTCTGGGAGATTTTAATTTTAATTTTTATTTTTTTCTTAGATCTGTTTAAATGTCACCATGGCAGCCTGTGTGTCTCCAACATCAGCTACACAAAGCAGCAAGTGTAAGTTCCACATACCTGTCTCACCACTTCATGTATGGTTTTGTACTTTAAACAATTATGACAAACCTGTTATTTTTTCTCCATAGCCATTTGGATCATTGGAGACAGCTGAGTGAGGCGTGGTGCCCAGAGAGCTGCAGCGACCGGAGACAACCTTGGCCTCCCTGACGTCTGTGTCTCCTGGTTCGGTTGGGGTGGACCATCGACATACATAAATGTGCCGACACTTTGCGCCCTGTTTTATAAACTGTAGTGTTAAAAATAAATGTTTTTGCTCAATTACTGGAATTTCTTTGGTTAAGACAAAAGTGAGGAATAATCATTTACAAGTTATTTGTACAACAGGCCCATTTTAAATCCCAACAGTTTCTTAGCAGACAATAGAAATGTGTTCTTTACTAACTTTACTTGGTTTAAAAATCTTAATAAAATAGTGCCGTATTGCAAAACCCAATCATACTTATGTAAACATTAGCTTTTTAGATATTTTTTACAGATATATATTTGTGTGCAACAAAAACCAAACTTAAATAATTTGTCATTCTTTATTGAAAAACAACAAAATACAGTTATACAGAAGTGTGGGAAAATGATAATGTGCAAGTATTGCTCTTTAAATGTAATCCTATTTATCTTTAAAAAGAAAAACTCTAAAAATGTCCTGTACAGCATCATGACAGAAGAATGGTGGTCTGTCTGTCAGAATGTGCTGAACCGATTTGCTCTTTGAAGAGGAGTGTCATGTTTGGAGGAAGGTACTTAACCCAAGACATGCAGAATACAACACTGACCAAAAACTGATGGAAAAAAATGATTTATTTATAAGGAGGAACTTAAGGTGCACAGATAAGTCTGTGGTTGGAACTGCAACAACAGCTCAGCGTCTGGAGGAGGGAGAACACAGGTGAGCTTAGGTTCTGGTTTCAAAATCCATTGTAGGCAGGCAGAGGTGTTCAGCAGACTTACTGTGGTGGGTGTATGTGTTGGCTGAAGGAGGGAGAGGTAGAGAGCCGGGGAAGCGCAGGAGAGGGAGCAGAGGTGGAGAGAAGCGGGGCGTCCTGGTGGATGGGGCACTGGGTGAGATAAGAGGTGGGTTATGGAAGGTGGTGATAAGGTCCGTGTGTTGAATATCCAAATCCTGGAGTAGAGGTCAGTATCCAATGAGGTCGACAGGAATCCTGAAGAATGGTAAATCCAATATAAGAGCAAAACCACTACGAAATAACATTAATCCTAGGAACACTAGAGGTAACACGAGTGGCTGGTTACTACCAAAACTGAGGCAATCTTCTGGCGTCAAATTGTGTCCTCCATCCACCTTAAATAGGATAGCACCCCGCTGATTGCTGACCAGGAACGGCTGGGGTGGAGTCACCAGAACCATGAAGAACGTGTCTCCAGAGACAACCCGGGTCCTGGTACCGATCAGGAAGCGGACCTTATCACCCAGAGCTGCCAGGTCATGCTCAAAGCCTTCATGTTCACGCTGCAGAGCCTGAACGCTGGCCAGGTCGTGGCCGTAGTTGTCTGTGTTCAGGGCCTGGTTCTTCTCCTCGATCCACTCTTTGGTCTCATCAGCGTCTCTGAGAAGACATCAGAACTCCGTCTGAGTGTGGGTCCAAACTCTACTGACCCGTAAGCAGCGCATAAGTGTGCGGGGTACCTGTGGAAGCGCTGCACCTCATGGGCGCTGCCCAGCATGTTGCTCCGGTCTTCAGCCAGCTGTTGCAGCGAGCGCCAGCGGTTGTTCAGCTCCTGGAGAGAAACCAAACCCAGTGAGATGAAGGTGGACACCAGCGGGCTGGACGCCGGACGAGGAAACCTGGAGACGGATCGCTCAGACAGGAAGGGAAGAGCTTCCTCTTACCTTGATGGAATTAAAGTTAGCCGTCGTCTGAACGCCCAACCGTACGGTCTGAGGTCAAAGGTCACAGGAAACACACACCAGTCAGCAGTCATACAGATGCAAAAAGATAACTGTAGCCATGGCAACCAGCTGACATGTCCCCACTTTCACCAGCACCTGGTGCCTGCCGGGTCACCTGAATTCCTGTGTGATGTCAGCACGGTCGGCCGTGACTGCGGCCATCAGAGGTGACCTCTGATCAGCTGAATGAACTCACCTTCTAGGGTGACGCCGTGTTACCCCGGGTTTCCACGGGAGCCGTCAGCAGCACGTTACTGCAGCAGCACGTCTTGCTCGCGTAAGCTGCTGCTTGGCCCTTCCCACGAGACGCGAAGCAGCAGGGGAGCAGCTGTCACCGACCGAGCACGAAGTCACACGAGTGACTTCATCAGTAAACACAACAACAAGCAGGAGAAAACTACAACATGGTTTGTGTTTTATGTTCTGTCCGTTTTATAATCACCAATACGGACCTGAAAAACAGAGACCGCTAGCTAGGTGATAACTTCTCACGGAGCCGCAGTTAGTAACCTTTTTTAAAAGTAAAGCAACCGGAAGGCAGTACGTTCTTTATTCTGAAAATCTCGGTAGCTTCTCTCAATTTCCGCATCCGATTTGCTGTCTTTCCTTCCCCAAAAATGTCGAACTTGACCCGTTTCAGAGGCGTCGCGCGTAGAAAATAGAACCGGCGCGTAAGGGCCGCGACATGCTGCTCCTGAGACGCGGCCGACTCGCGCTGCTGACGGCTCCGGTGGAAAAGGTTCTGTTGACCACAGCGGTTCCTATCAGCAGCTATGACGTGCTGCTGCAGTAACGTGCTGCTGACGACTCCTGTGGAAAGCCGGGGTTAGAGTCGGCTTCATCCTGTAAACAAACAAATGAGTGGTAACAAAAACACCACGTCTGGTTCTGGTGGAGGCGGAGGACAACACGCACCTTTCCAGGAGCAGAACCCAGATGTTCTTGTTGCTACAAACAGAGACGAGCAGAGTTAACAAACCAGGAAGTGAGAGGGACCAGCTGCTGCAGACAGGTGACGCTCACCTGAGCCTGAACCATAGGAGCCTCCTCAGCCATCAGACCTTCTGACTCCAGTTCAGATGCCACCTTGTTGATGTCCCTCAGGCGGGACTCGTTGGCCTTCAGGTCCTGCAGGACAAAAGCACCTGCTGATTATCACCTGAGCTGATCTGACAGCTGCTGCTGGAAGACGGAGAGGAGGAAAAGTCCGACCTTCTGGAAGTCGTCAAACTTCTTCTGCAAGACCTCGACCTGCTCCAGGTCCGACCCGTCTCTCCATCCTCATTCAGCTAAAGACGCGAGTTCAAGTAAAACAACCTAAAGTCACACAAACACAAAGCAGGTGTGGAGATGTTCGCTTGTCCCAACGTCCATGAAGCTCCCACAGTTTAGTCTTCACTTCCTCACCAGCGAAGTGACCTGGACCCAAACAAAGTGAGCCAGAACCTGCAGACACCTCAGAAACATGTCAGGACCAGACCTGCTCTACCTTCCTCCACTATGGTCTCTCCTTTCTGGGTGACAGCCTTGATGCGAGGTTCATGACCTGTGATCTCAGCCTGCAGAGCCTGGTGCTTCTTCAGCAGGTTCTGGACACCAATCAGGTCCTTCCCTGAGGACACATGTTAGAGTTCAGCATTATGCAGTAGACAGACCAGTTTAACCCAGGGGTTTCTTTCTTCTACAATCTGCTCTTTAACTGTATTATTTCCTGCTATTTCAGCTGTTAACTTTATTTTTTCTGTAAGTGTTTTTCTCCCCAGAAGAAGCTACAACGATGTTCTGCTGAGCTGTGGTGGCCTCATGGAGGGGGCCATCGTCTAGCACACTGCTGCTAACCACTTAATCATTCTCCCTCTCCTGATAATAACATTTTACTTTCTTTGATGTTGGATGTACTACTGCTAGTTTACCCATTTAATTATAGATTCACTAGGAAAAATACAATAAAATTTATCTCTCGCCAAATAGAATATTTACTAAGAAATCACAATGTAACGTGTGTGTGTGTGTGTGTGTGTGTGTGTGTGTGTGTGTGTGTGTGTGTGTGTGTAAAAGCCATGTGTAGTGTTTATTTATAAAGCATATGTTGTTGGATTTTATCCAGAATCGAAACTTTGAAAATATATAGTTTAATTACAGTTTGATTTATTTGACATCTGTATAATGTTTATTATTTTGTTTTTTCCACCTAAATACCTAACGTTTGAGTTTAACATGAATATCAGTCATTCATCCCAATACATGAAGTTACACATTTTAAATTTTAATAGGGGAAGACTGCAGGAGGGAGCAGTAAAATACAGGGGGTCCCCTGCAAAAACTAACTTTACGAGTCTGATGAAAGTTGCTGGTATTCCCGCTGCTTCTTCGGTAAACAGCGCCAACAAAAACAAAGAAACTTGGGATCTTGTTGGCGTGGCGGTGGGATATAAGGGAAACGCTGTATGCCCGATAGACTTCTCAACGAGCTGCAGTATTTCTCCGGTCAGATCTGTCTCCGAGTTCCACGAGCGGTCAGCCCGCAGCAGCGAGGCGCCGCATCGGTCAGCCTGCCCGGCCTGACCGCTGGCGATTACCGGATGAAAGAATGGAGCACAGAAGTGTCCCCCCAAGCGGCGCTCCCCGTCATATTTCAACCCATTTTTATCTTAAATACACTGGGTTTTACCCTATTACCCATCTAAATATGCCCTATTAATTATTTTACCGTATTTTACATTTAAATTTCATGGTTAAACAGTACATGCTACATGTTAAACTGATAGTTAGCTAGCTACTTCGGTAAACTCAGCTAGTTTAAAGGTGGCAGTGACATAAAATACAAATATAGATTTTAACTTACAGAAAAAAATGAAGTGGAGACTCCTTGGACGCTCTATTAGTGCAATTAATACCACTGCAAGTCATTTTGTCCAACAATTGCACCAATAATATCCAAAACAGAATTCACAAGCACAGAGACTCAAAATCCCGACACAGTTTCCAGGAGAGACCGAGGCTGTACTGAGGCCTTTCCACGGAGCTAGCTCTGTGGTCACGTGGGTCTGAGGCGGCGGTCACGTGTGTCGGATGCTCATTAATTATACAGAATTTTAGGCTTTCAATACACTTAAACAGAAGAGTGAGAAAAAAATTCACCCCCCTCAGAGTTGTCATGAGTATAAACTAGATAATTTAGACAAAAAACATGTTCTGGTACCAGGCTGTAAACATGTTTATTTCTGCTGTGAAATCGGCATTTTTAACATGGGAGTCAATGAGGATTTGCTCGCTTCTGGTACCAGCCCCCAGCGGATGAGGGTGGAACTGCAATTTTCCTTACTTCCGGGATGGGACCATTTTTAGAGCGGCATTGTGGGGGCTTGGCGTGCACATTAGGAGGCGTGGCTTTCGGCTCTTTCAGGAAGGGCGGGGGAGTGAGCAACAGCCGTTCGAATTTAAAAATCTCCTCCTCCTCATCCTGCCGGTGTCATTTTACGGACCGTGCCTTTAAGTTAAATGAAACAGGCGCCATTTTTGATCCAATCTGTTCTGATATTTTTATTCTTTTTCCTACTTTTGTGTATGGTATGTGTATTTATAGCACATAGGTATTTGTGTCTTTAAGCCATACTTTTGGTACCTATATAAAAGGTTCAAGCATTTGATAGACTATTCTTTGAACCTGTCAAAACCATTTTAATAGTTTATTTTATCAATGCTGCCTTTATTTTAATCGTCATTTCCCAAGTGAGTGTAAAACAGTATAGACAGACACGGGTAAATTTGTTGTACACTTAGTTATATCAGTTAATGTACATTAAGAGAATCAGAGACTTAAATTGTGCTGATACTTCTTAAAACACGCCAGGGTTTGAGGCGGGGTGGTGAGACATTGTGTGAGACACCCAAGAATGCAGACTAAATTTTTCAAAAAGGTAAATTTAATAGAGCAAACAACAGCCAACACAGGAATAAAAAAGTACAAGCAAATGAGCCAAAATGCACACAAAAAACAAGACAACCTCCAAGAAAACAATGTAATGAGGAAACAGAATGCAAAAACTGAGTTTGACACCGCTGTACTATGGCATTTCAAAGCCAGAAAACACCTTCATCTTCCTTTTGTCCACAATTTCTTTGCAGAACTCTTCATAGTCTGAAAACTAAACATGAACAGGAACGGTTCCCTGCAACCATTCATCTCCTCTTCATCCAGGCCATCACAGAAGCATTCAGTTCAATTCAAAATACTTTATTAATCCCAGAGGGAAGTTGATTGCTGTAGTAGCTCAGGATAATAAAAATAATCAAGTCATCAAAGAGTTGTTGTATATTACAATGGCTGTTGGCAGGAAGGATCTCCAGTAGCGGTCGGTGTTGCAGCGAAACTGAAGAAGCCTCTGACTGAAGACACTCTTCCGTTGTCGGACAGTCTTGTGAAGAGAATGCTCAGGGTTGTCCATAATTTTATGGATTCTCTGGAGAATCCTTCTTTGCATTATCTCCTCCAGTGGTTCCACAGTCGTCCCCAGAACAGAACCAGCCTTTTTTATTAGGCTGTTGAGCCTTTTCAGGTCCCTGCTTCTGATGCTGCTACCCCAACAGATGATGGCTGAAGAGATTACACTCTCAATAACAGACTTGAAGAAGATCTGCAGCATCTTGCTACAGACATTGAAGGACCTAAGTGTCCTCAAGAAGTGCAGTCTGCTGTGCCCCTTCTTGTAAACGGCTTTGCATAACCTCTCCACTGCCCTCCGGCAAGCTTCCCTGTCCATGGTGATGACCTGGGGAAGGGAAATCTTTCCTTTGAATGACCTTGTGGTACACCACCTTGCTGCCTCAAAGGTGTCCTCAAGCAGAGAATTCTCCTAATCAAAAATAAAGGCAATATTAAAATTACTGCTGTCATGAGATTAAAAAGAGATTTTACATTAATTACGTATGATCTGTAATTAATTGTCCTTGCTTCAGCACAGCTGATTTCAATTGATGGCTGATGAACAAGCTTTTGCTTCACTGCAATCATCTCAATACGGTCTGCTATATCACAGAAACTCCTAAAACATGCAGGGCAGTTTGCCTTGAGGACCAGGGTTGAAAAACACTCCTCTAATTATTATGTTATGAATGGCACCTTTTTAAGTCTGCGTAAGTCACATCATCACGTCTGAAATGTCATATCCCAACCTCCCCCTCTCTTTGTTTACTGGGAAACCTGGACAATGTCCCGATTGAAACATCTTTGGTTCACGTGGTTCTGACTGCCATATGCATCGCTAAGAATACTATCCTCTTGAATTGGAAAAATAGAGAAACTCTCTGCATTAACCAGTATAGAAATCTTTTGTTAGATCATATTGCACTTGATTTAGCCTCTGCTTCCACTTCAAATCAATCTCTCTGGGCTCCTTTGATCAGTTCCATCATATAGCGATGATGGGGGACCGTTGATGTTGTCCTGCGGGATGATGTGGGTGGGGGGGTGGAGGGTCTGAGTTTGGAGTATCCGGATGTTCCCCGGAGGTGGGTTCACTGGGGGTGTCTGGGACTGGGGGGCCGTTGCCCCCCTCTGGAGGTGCTTGGGTTGCCTCGGGGGATGGACTGCCGGCGGTCGTGAGTGAGGTCCCTTGGAGGTCTTGGTGGCGGCCATGGGTCACTGCCTGGCGGCTGCATTGCCCCTGGGCGGGTCTGGGTGGGGGCCTGGGGGCCCGGGGTGATGGGGTGGCCGGCCCCGTGTGGGGATCTGGGCGGGGCCTTGGGGGTCGGGTCCTGACATGTATGCTACCGGGAAGAAGGTAGGAACATGCAGCAGTGCCTGGCCCGGGTTCAGGGGCCTCATGTAGACCTTGGCTCCTCTGCTGTTCCATCACAGGGGAGGGGGAGGTCCAGGAGGGGGAGGACCCAAACTTACATGGATGTTCTATGTCTTATATATTCTGGAAGTTGTGCAAATCAGGGATGGGCATAGATTTTCTGCTGGGGTGGGGCTGGGTTGGTGCCTTCGGACTCCGTGGGGCTCTGTAATGCTGCTGCTTTGGGCTCTGGCAGGATGGGCTGGGGTCTCCATGCCCTTGGTGGCAATTTGACAACAGAGGTGCCTATTGGGGCCAGTGGGGGAGCTGGCTCCCTGGAGGGCTAAGCCCAACCAGCCGTTTCTCCCCATCCCCGCATATTTCTCTCCTCCTGCTCCCTCACATCATCACACAAACATACACATAGGACCTTGGGGGGTGGACAAGTCAGGGAGTGCGGGTATGGACCCCATTTCCGCATTCATGTGGCAACCTGCCCCCAATTTTATTTGCACCTTATACACTTCCACCGACGACATTCCACGCAAACACACACTTAGGGCCTTGGGAGTGAGCACATTCAACGGCATTTGGCAGGGGGATTTCTCAGCCTCCTCCCGAGTGCCGGTGCCCACTTCCAATTTTAAACTGCACTTAGACACCGAGGGCTGTGGGTGCAAGTGGGGTGGTGCGGTGGCATCTGCTGGCATAGGCCAGACAATGCCTGCACTGCCCGCTCACCACAGCCATGGAATACACCTCATCAACACACAACACTATAATGGAGCAGGCGGAGGGAGACTAGGGGGTCTTAGCACACCTCTGTTGTTGCTTGGCTTCCTGGGGCTGGAGACTAGGAGGGAGATCTGGCCGTCTGGTTGGGGTCTGGGGTGGTGGGTTGCTGGGCTCGGCGTTGGGCGGGGGAGCCTGCTCATCAGCACCCCAGCAGAAAGGGTCAAACTCTGGTAACCTGTGATGGTTGTACCCAGTGTGCAGCAGTACCGGGACCAGGGTGAATAGGGTGTGTATGGGGAGCATGAGTGGGTGTCCGGCGTGCATTTTTGTAAGTCTTTGGTTGTATGTGTATGTGTGAGCATGAGGGAGGGAGTGTGTGACTGTGTTTGTGTATGACTGTATATGTCAGGTGGGGCCTTTGTCTCCTCCCCTCTCCTGGAACCTCCTTTGATGATATAGATCTTTGTCTCCCCTCCCCCTGCCACACCTGGTGTGGGGTGTGGTGCCTTGGTCTGCCTGAGTGTTCGTGGCTCCCGGGTCAGGGGGGTTTAAGATCTTTGACGCCTGCCTGGTCAGTCCCGGTGGCTGCCTGGTGGGGTCTGGGTCCCTGGGCTCTGCTGGGTCCTCGGCGGGGAT